TACATTTATATGCACAGGATGGTAAGGCAATGATCCTGAGAATCTTCAGCAGGTTTTTGAAACTAGCAGGTAATTGGTAGGATTTTCACCCTAACTCACTATATATGCTGATACCTGTGAACATAGTGGCACCCATAGCGCACAGGTCTGAAATTTTCCCTGTTCAAACAACAAACAGCTTCTAGAATGGGCCTATTCACTCCATAGAGCTGTGGCTTTGTCCATGTCTCTTTGGTTTGGCTTCAGTTGTGACAGATGCTGATAGGTGCTGCAGACCGGCCACAGCAGAGCCGCAGGGTCACCCCAGGGGGCCACAGACAGTAATCACACGGGCCCCACTCCAGCTTCCAGAGCTGTGCTGGCATGAGCTCTGTGCGGGCTCTCCAACAACCGCCTTTCCAGGGCTCGGTGTGCAGCAAGCAGCCCCTTGCTTCTAACAGGGCTTTACTGTCCCTGTCATCCTGCAGGCCAGAGTGTGACGACAAGGTGCGGGCGCCTCCCCAGGACCTCTCCTCTCTCTTTTTGCAGCCTGGGGGCTCTGCTCCCTTGGCTGGGACCCGGCCTCACGGGCTTTTCCGCCTGCGTGGCTCTCTTCTCTCCTTAGGGGTCGACTGTCCTTGGGTTATGGCCACATGCACAAAGTTGGGTGTCTCCCCTCCACATCCTTCCCTCAGCTCTGTCTGCAAAGAGCCTGGTCGTATAAGGGCCCCTGTCCTACAAGGGGCCTGAGTGTGGGAATGTGGACCACCTTTAAGGGACCCCTCACCCCACCGTACCTCAGGAGCCTAGGCCTGGGCCTGGACAAGGAGACCCTTCAGGCACCAGAGCCTGGAGCTTGAGGCCCCTGGTGACCTCCCCGCCTCTGCTGCAGGGCAGGGCCGAAAGCTCGGAGTCAAGTTCCCCAAAGCCAGCTGGAAAGAAGCCTGCTGAGGGGCTCCCCAGTCCTACCCCCCACTGGGGCTCTGTGCTGAGAGCCAGGCTGTGCTGGCCAGGCCCAGGGCTCCCTGAGCACCAGGTGAAAGCCTAGGGAGTTTAAAGGAAGGTGCAGCTCAGTGGTCACCTGGCACTCCCTTCTGCAGCCGGGGCTGGAGGGCAGGCAGGGATGGGCAAGGAGGCTGTTTCTCATTATCTTTCTTGGAGGCTTTTTCCTCCACCTTGCTTTCCTTCAAGGAGCTTCTCATTATCCACACAGCCCAGCGATTCCATCCTAGATCACCTGGGATAGCCATCTGTCAGAAAGTGACAAGAAAGCCCATCTTTGCACCCTGGCTTCCTCGGCCCAAAGCCTTGCACCTAGGTCTTTTTTTTCTTACAATTCCGGGCCCCTCACCCATCTCCAGCTCTATCCATCCCCCATGGCCCGGTTCACATCCACATATGCAAGCTGGTGCTTTATCGGCCCATAGCTGGGCCACTTGGGCTCCTGGCAGATAGACAGAAGCCAGGATGGTGGTAATCTCTAGGGGCACGGCCCAAGGGAAGTGCTCGGTCAACTCTGACCCCTCCCTCTGGCCCCTTCAGGGACTGCAGTGAGGAGACCACTGAGACCCCCAGCCTGAGGCGGAGTCCCAGAGCAGTGCAGATGGGAGGCGGAAGTGTCCCCGGGGTGCGTGGAAAGCAAAGCCAGAAGTCTCCGTGGGGCTGGCGCGGGCCGGGCCGCCCTCAGGCCGAGCCGCGCATGCTCTGTACCCCTCCTCCCAGCGCCGGGTTCCCACGCCGCAGCCGCCCCAGCCCCGCCCGCTCGCGGTCCTGCTCCGCAGCGCGGCCAGCGTGATCTACGGACAGAGGCGCAGCACGGCCTCCCAAGCAGCGCCAGACTCGAGGCCCGGACCGGCTGGGAACCTCCATCCCGCCAGCTTCCTGGGACGCCGCCTCCGGAGGGCTTCTCGGAGGCGGTGGCCTTGGCCTCGGGCCTGCTGTGGGCAGGAGGGGAGGCCGACAGCACCGGGTCGCGCTCGCGAGTAACCAAGGTACGCCGGCCTGTGGGGATGCAGGGAGCCCCTCTCGGCAGGGGCGCGGAATGGTGGGCACAGGTGGCCTGGACATCCACGGAGCAGCGGAGCAGCGACAGTGGCAACCAGTTGAGGACTCCCTGGGAGGCAGGCGCAGAGCAGCTACGCTGGCTCTGGGCGTGCCTGGAAAGAAGGCCTGCAGGGCCAGCACCGGGAGTGCGCGCAGCCCCAGCTTGCCAGTCGCTCTCCTCTGGTTGGTTTTCAGGCACTAATCCTGGGCTGGCACGGAGCAGCCCATCCCGATGCCCCAGGGAAGTTGGGATTTTGCACCTCCGAGTGTGGGAACGTTGGGCAAGTTGGCGTTGTGTGATCATGGCACTGTCACCCAGTGTCACCCGGCCAACTATCACAGGGGCAGGCCCTGATGGTGCCCCCACGTTGTGCCCCTGTGGCTGTGATCAGGGTTAGGGTGGTGGCCCTCTGAGCCAGGCTGATGCGTGTGGGACATGGCCCCGCACAGCCAGGAAAGGCAAAGCTCAAGCGGGGCGGGATGGAAGGCGGGCAGGGCGCGACGGAACAAGCCTTCCGTGCAGGGAGACTTCCCACTGGTTCAGTCCGCTCAGTGTGTGCCCAGCGCTGGCTGGGCACTGTGTTGCTGCTGACATCGCAGGTCTATCAAGGGACGGGCAGCAAAAATGTGCTCAGTGCGTCTAGCTCTCGTGGCAAAGCACAGGCAATAAACAGTTTGACATGAGAAATTAGAGAATATGTCAGAAGGTGGGGAAAGGCAGGGAAAGCAGGTCCAGTTACACGTCAAGTAGTACACTTAGAATAGATCTCATTTCAAAGGCTCCGTTTCTGCAAACACTTGAAGTTGGCAGAAGAGCGCAGCATGTGCTAATGTTTTGGAAGCACATTCCAGGCAGAGAGAATAGCTGTGCCAAGGCCCTGAGGCAGGAGCAGCCTGGCTCCTTGGAAGCCAGAACTGCAGGAGCAGAGGGCAGGGCAGGGCTGGGTGAGGTCCAGAAGGGCCCGCAGCTTTCCTCCCACTGATGTGGGCATTCCAGAAAGGACCAGCCCACCGGTGGGAAGGAGGGGCCTTCAGCAAGCATCGTGCTCAGCCCTCTGTAAGTCTAGGTCAGCGCCTGTCCCCAGAGGACAAGGCCAGGAGACAGCAGTGCAAGAAGCTCCCAGGGGGCCTGCCCAGTCCTGGGTGGGCTGAGGGGACCTGCAGGGGACTCATTCCCATGCCATCCACCAGGAGATGGTGGGTGACAAGGCCTATGGGCGCCTGGGCAGGAGAAGCATCTGGGTCTCAAGGTGCTGTACCCCAGAGGAATTTTCACCCAAAATGACCCTGCCCATCTGTTCCTGTCCTCAGAAAGGGCCCCAATTCCTGATCCCCAAGGCCAGGATCCAGATGGCTGTCCTGACGTTGTTTGATTTCTGGCTTTTTTTTTCCTGGGGAACGCGCCCCACCTAGTGGTCCTCAAGCAGGATGGCACCAAGGCGCACAGACAGACGAGCTCTCCTTTGGCTCGCTTGTGGGCGCGCTTCTTCCCCGCTTCATCCCCTCCCCACTCTTGGCACTGAGATCACCAGACATGTCAACCCCCTGTGAGCTAGGCCTGCGCTGAGGGCTACCCTGGCCGGTGGGCCTTGCTGGCTTCTCCCAGGGAGCAGTCTCAGAGCCCCTCACCCCCATGTGCCCAGCAGCAGGTTGCTGAAAGCTGGAGCTTCGAGTCCAGCTCATCCTTCAGCCTGACCTGGGATCTGGGTTCCCATAAGGGCCCAGGGATCTTGCCAGTCTGGTCTGATTGGTGGAGGCAGCCGCTCCCCCTCCTTCCCTTGTGCACTCAGGGGCTGCCAGCCTTGGGGGCTGTCCTGGCAGGAGTTACCATTAAAGCTGGCTTTCAGGAGTGGTCTCAGCGCAGACCCTGCTGTGTACCACCACCCCTCTGCTGCGTCTCCTCTCTCCCACGCCATGTCTGTCTGCAACTACAGTGGCACCCACAGGGCAGCCTGACTCTTTGGGGATCACATGTCTTGGTGGGAGACCAGGCGTTTGCAGCCACCACCTTGATCCAGCTGAGAAATTTCCTCCCTCTCAGCAATCACCAGGGTCCGCCATGCCCTCCACTGCTGGTGGGCTTTGGGCATGAAGGATTTCTCTTTTCTGGACATGGTGTATATTTTCTAAGATTTAAAGGGGCTTGGGGGTGGCTGCCCACTGTGCAGTGACCTGACATGCCCAAATGGCAGAGCTCTTGGTACTTGTACCTCCGACCAGCAACACTGTGAGGCCATGCAAGGGGTTGCTCTGAGGACAGGGTGACGGAAAGCTGGAGCTATAAGGACAACTTATGCACAACCGGTGAGTGGAATGGCATGCGTGAACAATGTCATGGGCCCTGGCATTTAGGAGCTGCCCCTTATCTGGGAACCGAGGTCTGGGAGTACGGGGTCTAGTAAGGAGTCAAATGGCTGTGTGTTTAGTAGGCCCAGGACTGTGGCCCAGACACGGGAAACGGGAATGGGGGCCCAGCAAACTGCCTACAAAGGACAGGAGCAAGGGAGACTTCAGCCCCAACAGGAAAGCTAGGTCAAAGCAGCTCTTGTGAAACATGTTACGTCACACAAATCGGATCCTACAAGATGTGGCCTTTTGTGTCTGTGTCTGGATTTTTTAACTTGAGTGAAATATCCTTAGGATTCATCCACACTGGAGCCTGTGTTACAAATGCCTTCCTTTTTGTGGCCAAATAATATCCCACTGTATACATACACCACGCTTGGTTCCTCTGTTCTTCTGAGATGGACATTTGGGCTGTTTGCACCTCTTGGCTACTGTGACCAATGCTGAGTGGGGTGGCAAAACACATGCACATCCATGTGAATGTGGGTGTGCACATGTTTGTGGGAACACCTGTTTTCAGGTCTTCTGAGTGTATGTCCAGGAGTACAATCGCTGGGTCATGTTGGATTCTAGGCTTAGCTCATGAAGGAGAAAACCCAGATGGTTTCCAGAGCTTTCTTCTTTCCACCGTGAGCACTGTTAGTCGCCTCTCTGTCACTGCAACAAACTTCCTGAGACAATCACCAAGCAAAGAGAGGTTGGGCACACTCAGCCTGTGGCCCATCGGCCTCGTACCTTGGGCCTGTGGCCAGTCAGCAGGGCACAGGCAGATGTTGGGACATGGCGCAGGGATGGCAGAGAGGAAAGCAGGCCGGCCCTCAGGGACCCAGAAGCCTCTCCAGCACCATTCCCGGGAGTGAGCCCTCAGCGCAGGCCTTCGGGTGGCGGAGTCTTGGGATCTGCGTCATAGCAGCTGCTGCCGGGGTGGGGCAGACCGGTAGACACCCAGGTCACTCTGCCTGTTGACCCTTCTTCCCGGCTGAATGTTTGGATTTTCCTGGGACGTTTCGAGGGAGTTGCATGTCATTTCCACCTCACATGCCGCAGGGTGCATTTCAAGAGGACGCTTTCTTCCACTCACCAGCGCCATCCTCCACCCAGTGCACGCGCACCAGCACAGCCCTGCAGGCTGCATAGTTGCCATGCTCCTGTCATCTGTCCCACCCTCTGCCCCATGGTCAGGATGGGCTCCTCATGTGTGACCATTAAAGGACCAGTGTGTGATACAGTGATGTGTGATGTCCTATTCTCCCTCCATCTTTCACCAAATGGCTCTAGGATCCATTCCACAGCCCAGGGACCCATTTTTCTGTTTCATATAAACTTCTGCCCCAGAAGTGTGACAATTTCTGGTCACCACAATCCATAAGGGATTTGGGGCAATTTAAATGCCCGATGTCTATGACAACTGTTTCATGCTCAGGGCCCTGTCCCCCCACTCTCTCCTGCAGCTTTGCCGTTGGCATGAACAAGGTGTAGTCTCCCATCAGGACAAGAGTTAGCACTCCCTTGAGCCACTTGCCCAGCAGCTGTGGCCTGCTCGCTCTACTTCTGCATCCGGGACTTTACTGTTGTTGATCTACCACTGGACAGAAACATTTTTGGGGAAACATTCCTTGTGCTGTATCTGACACTAGGGAGGGATGTGGCAAAGTCTGAGGCCAAGATGGCCTTTGTCCACTTTGTCTAGTCCACACTCCTGCTTTTTGTGTGGGCCCAACTCCCTGCTGGGCCCATTTGGTCCCATCTTCTGGACCCAGTCTCTCATTTTTAGCATCATGAACTTCAAGCTCAGCACTGCCTGAAGGCCAGGGTACGTGCCCTTGGCCTGCCCATTGGCCAGTGTCCTCCCCTCACAGAGCACCCTGACCTTCCTGTAGGCCCCTCCTTCCCTGGGCATCTTGCCAGCTGCTCTTCTGCACATGTGTGCCTGGACTCATCCATAGGAACTCAGACCCAAGGGAAGGGGTTGGCTGGCAATGGAGCTTTGAGGAAAGGCTAGAAAGCTGGCCTTAGGGATGCTGGGCAGATAGAGAGCTGAGAAGAGAAAGAAGTGAGAAAAAACGAAGGCGAGAAAAATAGGCTTCCTGGAAATGGGTCAGGGAGGCCTGGTGGGAAAAGTGGATGTGGGATCCTGACTGGTTGCTCCAGAAAGAGGGGGCTTGGGAATCCTCCGTGCAGGGGGCTGCACTGTGGCCTCAAGGCTGTGCCGAGGGCAGCCCCACCGGCAATGGGGTCTTTGCAGGCACTGAAATAAGCTGAGCTCAGACCTCACCCTGGACCAGTGTCCTACTAGACAACGGGAATTTGGGCCAGGCACACAGAGTGACAGCTAGTGACCCCCAGAAGCTGGGTGGGGAGTGGCAGGGGGCTCAAGGCTCTGTGCCCCTCTGGGTTCCAGCCCCCAGTGAGCAAGCTTTGTTCCTCACAGCAGGCCCAGGGAAGCACCCAGGAGAAGGGGTGGTCAGCACCCAGGCTACAGGATGGCCAGAGCCCATCAGCTGTCCCAGCATGGAGGCCAGGACTCAGGGGGCCATGGGGGTGCTGAGCTGGGACCCCCAGGGAAAAGCCATTCACCAAGCTGGCCTGGCTGGCTGCTTCTGACTCTTTTCTGCTTCCCCAGGGTGTCTGCAGGCGATGGCAGCCATCCTCCTGAGGGCGAGGCCCAAGGTGAGTGGCCTCCCAGACCCTCTTCCCTACCACTACATGGCTCTCCCGAGGGCCGGGGCCTGCCGTGTCTCATGGCCACTAGTTCCCCTGGGGACCCAGAGCTTAAACCAAGCGTGGTGATACAAGCCTGTAATCCTAGTACTTGGGAGGCTGAGGTGGGAGGATTGTCATAAGTTCAAGACCAGCCTGGGTCACAGGGTGAGCTCAAGGCCAGCCTGAACTGCACAGCAAGACCCTGTCTCTAAAAGACCCAAGAAAACTAAAAAGGAATGTCCTTTTGTAGGCACCAGTATCTTTTGAGGACGTGTCTGTGTACTTCACAAAGGCAGAATGGAAATTTCTGGACTTCAAACAAAAAGCGCTCTACAAACAGGTGATGTTAGAGAACTACAGGAACTTGGCATCGCTGGGTAAGTGACCCGTGTGCACATACTCAGCCCGCCTTTAAGTCTGGGCTCCATTTATTTCTGAGTTTCCTGCTTTGTCAATTACACTGAGCTCAAGCATAAACCCCTCACTCCATCAGCCTGGAAATCTTGTGGGGCCACTGTCGTGTCAGGAAGAGTTTTCAGCTAATGGCAGCTGGTTGGGCTCTGTACATGGTAGGGTAGATGTGTGGGCCTATACTAATTTTGCATATGAAATTGTGGATTGAACAAATCTCTTTTTATTTAAAAGACAGGTGTCAACTATAGTGGGATAAATGCCTACATAATATATAGATATAGATATTAGATGCAGATATAGATGCAGATAAACGCATACGTACATGCTCACATACACACAGAGCCCCATGGAAAGTGTGTACACACTTCATGAAAAGAAAAACTTGTATAAACATTGTAATGCTTTGCCCTATGGGGGACTCTAGAGGATGTCGTATATCACAGAAAACCTACTACACTGCAGGCCCTTAGAAAACAAACTAGAAGCACATGTGCAGCCATCTCAGTGACCAGGGTTACCCAAGCAGCCGTTCGCCACGCCAATAAATGTCTGGAAGCCAACAGCCACCACATTGAGCACCTCTTATGACTGTAATGTGTATTAATCTCATGGTTGCTCAATAAATTTAGTATTTAAAATTTTTATTCAAGTTTTTCTTTTCCTGAAATATATATATGTGTGTGTGCATGTGTGTCTGTGTGTGTGTGTATATATATATATATATATATATATATATATATATATATATATATATATATATATAGAGAGAGAGAGAGAGAGAGAGAGAGAGGACTCAAGGTCTCCTCAAATTCACACTTATCCTCCCAACCTCCTGCCTCAGCCTCCCCATGCCAGAGAATGGCAGGCATGCACCACCATGCCAGCTATACTAGAATATTTAAATGTATTATGTCAGACCTAGATTGTTTTTGCAACAATTGGGCCTTGTAGCTGGGAGTGGTGGTGCACAGCTGTCATCCCAGCACTCAGGAGGCTGAGGCAGGATGATCACTATGAATTAAAGGCTAGCCTGGGCTACATAGTGAGTTCAAAGCCATCATGAACTACACAGCGAAATCCTGTCTCAAAGCAAACAAACAACATTCATTCACTGTATGGAGCTGAGCACTCTGGAAGGGTGGGCAGCTTTCCCCTCCCTCGCCAACACGTGTCCAGCCTCCCATCTTTAGGACTCCCAGAAGGGGAGCCCATCCTGCCGCTTAACGAGGGTCACAGGCCAGAGCTCTGGAGTGAAGGTGACACCGCCTCCACTCTGCTGTGCGTGAGCACTGAGCGGACCCCAGGAACCCACCTTTCCCAGCAGGCAGCCAGTATGGTGCACATGCCAGGTTCAGGCCCCCGGGGAGTGAGCGTCACATCTAAAGCAGCTCTCCTCGTGCCCTCTGTGGCCGAGCCCACGGCAAAGGGCTGTCTCCATCCTGGGCTCTTGCTGGCCCTCACAGGCAGGTGACGGCGTCTCTCCTCCTCAGGTGGCTTCTGGGCATGGGGCTGGGGGTGGCTTTTCCCTGGACCTGCCCAAGGGCACTTTTCCAGAGTCCTTTCTGCTCTATCTGTCACCTGAGGCTGTGAGGACTGCAGTGTGCTCAGGGGTGACTCTGTCCTTGGTCATTTCCCGGCACAGGACTCGCCTCCTCCAAGCCTTACCTGGTGGCCCAGCTGGAGCGAGGGGCAGGGCCGTGGGTGGCCAACCTCCACTCGAAGGCAGGTGAGTGAGCCGCCAGGCTGGCCTCCTGTGGGTGGGACCCACACACACCCTGCCCTTTCCGGGTCACCCCACTTCCCCACCTGCACTCCCAGCTGCCTGCCTGGCACTCTTCTGCTTGGGGTCACCTTGTTCCTGCCCAGTGTAAGGGTACACAGAGCCAAACGTGCACGAGGGACCCCAGAAGCAGTGACATCGGTTGGCCTTATCTGTCTTTGCAGGTGGTAGGATACAGTGCCCCAGGGCGGCAAGGAGGGCCAGGCGGCAGGGTGACTCCAGGGCTGCACAGAGGAGTCCCCAGGGCTGCCGTCCTGCTCCGAGGCCACAGCGGCCCAGGGGCCCTGAGAAGCGGTACCTGTGCCAGCAGTGCGGGAAGTGCTTCAGCCGCAGCTCCAACCTCATCAAGCACCGCATCGTGCACAGCGGGGAGAAGCCCTACGCGTGCGGGGAGTGCGGGAAGCGGTTCCGGCGCAGCTTTGCCCTGCTCGAGCACGAGCGCATCCACAGCGGCGAGAAGCCCTACGCGTGCGCCGAGTGCGGCCAGACCTTCACGCGGAGCTCCAACCTCGTCAAGCACCAGATCATCCACAGCGACGAGAAGCCCTTCTCCTGCGCCGAGTGCGGGAAGCTGTTCCGGCGCAGCTTCGCGCTGCTCGAGCACGAGCGCATCCACAGCGGCGAGAAGCCCTACGAGTGCGTCCACTGCGGCAAGGCCTTCAGCCGCAGCTCCAACCTCATCGAGCACGAGCGCACGCACAGCGGCCAGAAGCCCTACTTGTGCGACCGGTGCCCCAAGGCCTTCACGGGCATCTCGCAGCTCATCCACCACCAGCGTGTGCACATCGACGCCAAGCCCTTCGCTTGCGGGGCGTGCGGCAAGGCCTTCCGCGGCCGCTCGGGCCTCAGCCAGCACCAGCGGGTGCACAGCGGCGAGAGGCCGTACGAGTGCAGCGAGTGCGGCAAGGCCTTCGGCCGCCGGGCCAGTCTCTTCAAGCACCAGGCGGTGCACGGCGACGTGCAGCCCACCCGGCGCGGCGGCTGCGACAGGGGCCCCCGGCGAGGCTGCATGCTCCTGCTGGAGCGCCGCCCGGGGCCCCGCGGGGCCCTTTCCCCGCACAGCTGTTTGAGCAGCTCTAGCGAGAGCAGCTCTAGCGAGGCCTGGGAAAGCCCGGGGCAGCACGCCTGTGAGCACTGCGAGCCGAGCGTCGAGAGCAAGGCGCAGCTGCGTGGCCTGCGGCGCACCCACCGTGAGAAATCGCGCCGCCACGGTGCCCAGGCTCAGCCCGTCGCAGGGGACGACGGCCCCCATGCCAGCGTCCTGGGTCCTGCGAAGCCACAGGATCCAGCCTCGCCCTGAGGCCGAGCAACGGGGCAGTGAGTCCGAGGGGGAGCACGGCCTTCCTGAGGGCCGTGGGCCTCAGCGTCCCCCTAAGGCAGTGCAGGCTGGAGACCGAGCACCCCTTCCCTCGCTTTCTCAAGTCCTTAACAATGCGGCTGATCATAGCTATGCTCCTCCACCCCCGCTGTCACGTGGCTACCGCCGGGCACCCGCGTGTGCACAGGCCGTGCGCATGGCGGGTCTGGGCAGATGTGTGTCCTACAGAGTCACTGGCCCGTAGGTGTGCCTGCCGCCTGCTGTGCGAAGGGACGCTACTTAGAGTTTACAGAGGGATGGGCCGCCCATGTCCTCTCTCCTGGGGTGGGACTCTTTGCCTCCCCCTAAGAGTTGTTAGTGTTTCCGGGTAGAAGATACTAAAAGCACTTTAATGCTTTCAGAGCTTACAAATGGAAGGGGCTCAGGAATCGCCCAGCTTCTCCTGGGAAGGTGCCAGGCACCCTGCGTCCTCCTAGGGGGGGGGGGGGGCACACGCACTCTCGGCCTCCCGGGCGACCCCTGCTGGTTGTCGGAGGAGTTGCACCCAGTCTATGGGAGCAGAAGAGCCGCCTCCTTTCCCTCCGTTCCCTCACAGGAGTGGGCTCTGGGCCAGACGTGGCCATGTGGACACCCCTGCTACCCTCATGGCTTCGGTCTCCTTCCTGCACTTGGCGCTTTCTGTGCCCCTCCCACCCCCTAGTGCCTGAAGCTTTAAAATTTCCTGCTCCTACCCTTCATGCAGCGCCCCCTTGGGGCAGTGGCAAGTAGGAGACAAGCCACCCAGGTTAGAATTTGCATTTAGGTGGCACTTAATTGAATGTGAGTGCTGGATAAGTGCTTTTCTTGTGACACTTCTTAGAATCCTTGAGGTGCCACCGTTTTGAATGTCTTTGTATTCAGGGATAACGTAAGTTGAAAATAGAAATTTTTGCTATTTGAGATTGTCAGGGATGACTCCTTAGGTAAGAATCTGGATCCCCATCCAGTGACAAGGCCTCAGGCAGCAGAAGGGGCCATCCCAGGCCCACGTCTGAGAAGCTGTCCCTTCTTGTCCCTGCCATGATCCAACCCCCTCTTCCCCTTAGCCCTTCAAATGGCACTTTACTGAAAGCCCTGGGGTGTCCTCCTGGGAAGAGCTCACAGCTAGCTAAAGGGACTGTCCCCAGAGGCCCAGGAGATCGATCTATGCCTGGGTGCTTTCAACCCAGTGTCCTGGCCACCTCCTTCCAGCTCTCTCCATAACCAAGGGAGAGCAGGGCTTTGTCCCTCATGCTGCCTGAGGGTAAGCAGGTGGTCAGTATCGTTGAGACCACTTCTGGGGACACCTGCCAGGAGAATGTGAGGAGACGGGAAAGCTAGGCTTCCTTCTGAGGGTGTTGCTTGGAACTCCAGTCCCCAGGACGGCTCCAGATATCTCATACAGGCCTGTGTGTGCACACGCGCGCGCGCGCACACACACACACACACACACACGCACATGTGTCAGATATAAAAGCCTATTGAACATTCCAGCATTTTTGTAACTTGCTTTTGACTCAGCCACCTCTAGTGACCCCTGTTCCTGTGTCCTGTGGATGCCTTCATGCCTATCAGCCTGCCTTGTCAACTGTAACTGTGTGTCGTGTGTGGCCCCTGTGTGCTCTGTGCCAAGCATGGTGCCGGCACTAGCAAGTATGCGTGAAGGGAGAGCTGCGCGCTGAGCATTCTGGGTGCTGCCTCTCTCGGAGCCAGCTGCAGCCACCCCTGGAGGCAGCATGGCATATCCTCAAGCTGGGCTTTTCGAGTTGCAAAAGCAGCATTAGGATGGTGTCCTTGGAGTCCCTGGGACATCATTGGGAAGTTTGTGATTTTGTGAGGCTCCTACGATCTCCACTAGAGCTGCCACAGATGCAGGAGGCCTGTCCCCATACAGGGCAGGTGCCAGCAGCAGGAGGCTGCTGTGGCCTCCATCACAGCCCCTCTTAGGCCCCTCTCATTGCTCAGAAGTGAATGACTGAGATTTTCTGAGCCAGGCAGTCAGCAGCTGTCCCGAGTGTGCCAGTGTACACGCTAGCTGTAGCTTTAACCTTGATTTGCCAGGTCCTGTACCCACGTGTCCCCACCAGAGGAAGGGCTGTGTGCAGGCATGTCCTGCACACAGCACTCACGGGGTGGGCGGGGGGCTACACTCATGCCCTTGGAGTGCCCTGAAAAGCCCTAGCTTCCACACTGTTTGCCTGAATAAATGCCACCGAAGGTAGCCGCAGCAGATCTTTTCTGTTTGTCAGTTCTCAGAGGAACGTGGCACCTATCCACTTAGGGTTGCCTATCGGCCGTCAGGAGCTGTGTTTTCGTTGAGGCACGCAGTGCAGACTTACGGGCCTTGTGTGGACCGAGGTGGAGCCCCTGGGAGCAACACTGACTCTTGCTTCTGTGCTGCTCAGAAGCGGGGCTCCGTGCCTCCTGCTCATGAGCAGCGGGGTGATCACTCCCGCCTGCCTTTTCTTTCAAGGAGCAACTAGAGCGTCAAACTTAAGCCAGTGGTGGGGGTTCGAGAGAAAAGCTTGGGCTGGGCTGCGAGGGAGGAGCAGAGACTGTGAGGTGCGCTGGGAGAAGCAGTTCTGAGCTGAAAGATCAATAAGAAGCAAAGTGTACAGGGCCTGGAATCCCACGTGCAGACTCCAGACTCGATTTGGTTCCAGATGAGGAGCAGTTCTTTAATAACATGAAACAACTGGCCTATGATTGAGGAAAGGAAGCGGTTGTAAATGAATTGTTGATCACCAGGGCTACACGGAGATCTGATGCCTCCGAGTGTCAGCCTGTGGCCCCAGTGACACCAACAGGAGGGAACTGGGGCGCCCACCTGCTTTCCTCTCAGGCTCCGCGTGGCATGCTGCTGGATCTGGCTTCGGCTTTTGCCAGCCGCGGAGCATCTGCAACTTCACAAAACAAGGGCCAGGACAGCCGGTTATCCTCACTGGAACACCTCCAAGCTCAAGGCAGCCTTGGGGCCCCTTGGGGCTCAGGAAAGCCTGCTTTGGTCCCTCCCTCCCACCTGGCAATGGCTGGGCCTGAAGACCGCTGCAGATGTGGCTCTCCTGCTGGGTTTTACCTTTGCTTGACAGCTTTGTGGAGGCGCGATAGAAATGGGATAGCTGGCATGTGTGTAAGCTGTGTAACATCTGTAAAAGCATCCCCATCAGGACAGGGAATACTGCCCACGTCCTCCCAAAGTGGCCTTGCCCCCCCCCCCCCCGCAAGCACGGCTCTGCTTCTGATACTCTAAGTAAACGTGCATCTCTGGAACTCCGTGTAAATGGGCTCGCCCAGCACACGTGGGGCTGCTTCTCCTCAGTACAGTTCTTCTGAGGCTCACCCTGCAGTCCGTGTGCAGCCACGCTGCTGCTCTCTTTCCCCTGAAGACCTCTTGGTGGGCATCTGTGCTGTTTCCATGTGACGATGTGACAAATAAAGCTGCTATGAACATTGTGTACAAGTTTCAGTGTGACCATACATTTTCTTTTCTCATGAGTGCAAAGCTAGGAGTGGTATTTCTGGGTCAAGAGGTAGCACACTACATTTAACTCTGCTGGTTTTTTTTTTCTTGACAGGGTCTCACTACGTCATTCAGTGGCCTTGAACTCACTAGAGCCAGGACACAATGAGGGAGCTACCCTTGGCCATCCCAAGAGAGATCAGTGAGTGCAGCACCCAGACTGGGGAAGCCCCACGGTCCAGCCAGGCAGGCGCTTAGACAGCTGAGCACTTAGCAATATCTTCACTCAAAATAAAAACTGTGTTTGAGGGGTTGGCAGAAAGCCAGCCTGTGCCACAAAGCAACACTTTGCCCTCCCCCCCAAAAAAAGAAACAAAAAGAAAGAGCGTGGTATGAGGACACAGAGACACACAGAAACAGCTGTGAGAGCTCAGCCCTGGGGGTTGGAGGGATGCCGGGATCAGAGCGGGGCTCCAAGAAGCTGGAAGAGGTGGGAAGAATCCTCCATAGGTCCCTGGACTGGAGTGGGCTGCAGGCTCCCAGTCGATCCCCTTGGGCTTATCCAGGTCCACACCCCTTGGTGAAGTGCCTCACACACAGGTGAGGAAACAGGCTGAGGATGGACAGGCATTGCCCGGGGCCTCCACACTGGAAAGCGACCACCGCAAATGCGCACCCAGGGTGGGCTCCACACGGGTCCCTTTGCCCCTCCACTCGTGGGCATCTGGTCAGCTTTCCTGAAAGGAGGTGGGGAGGCCAAGCAGCTGGGACGCTCCACGCTGGGAAGGAAAGGCTTTCAGGGAGGTGGCACGCAGAAACGGAGGGGCTCCCACAGCCTTCCTTCTGGGGAGAAGAGCAGTGGGCAAAGGTGCTGGGGTACTGTCATCTACCACTCAAGCCAAAGAGGGCGCTCGAAATAACAGAAACTCAGCCTCATTGTTCTAGAGGCTAGAAGTCCAGGCCTCCAGGTGAGATTCCCTCCTTGCCCCTTCCAGCATCTGGTGGCCAGGGCGACCTTTGGCTTGTGGCCGTGTCTCCCTCAAAGACATTTGTCATTGGCTATAGGACTCATCCACGTAACCCAGGCTGGCCTCGTGTCAAGCAAGCCCTTCCATGTAATTCTGAGGTCACAGTCACAGGGCCCATGCATTCAGACACAGATGGTGGGGTGGGGGCTTCCTTTCAGGTGTCAGCAGACGCCACCTGAGGAGATCCCCAAAGAGGAGACAGGGACTTCAACTCACCTCCCTGGGACAGCTCTGCCATTTACGCTGGGGTTTGAGGGCTTTGTTTTGGTTTTAAGAGATTTGTTTGTATTTTGTGGTACTGAGTATTGAACCCAGGGCCTCTCCACTGAGCTATATCCCCAGCCTTATTTCATTTTTTTTTTTAGACAGGGTCTGGCTAAGTTGCCTAGGCTGGCCTCCAGCTTGCTATTCTCCTGCCTCAGCCTCCCAGGGTGCTGGGTTTACAGGCAGGCACCACCATACCTGGCTCTGTTCTTTTCTTTTGTTTTGTTTTACATT